CTTTGCGATATTTTGTAAGATATAAATGTTTTTGCATCAAAAAGTGCGATAGCGATTTGAAAATTTTCGATAACTGGTTACAGAAGCCCCCCCCAGGTTCTGTAGTTCTTCGATCTTCTGGACGATCGTCACAAGGCCTGGGCGATAAATTTGTTCAAAGTATTAAAGTCGCCAGAACCGATGGCATCATATCTACGCAGCTGCAAAGGGCTCTGAAGGTGTCGTGCAATTGGTTGGATCCTATTTATTTATGCAAACTGCGTGAGGAGGTACATCCAAAGGCTTGGAAGGTAGACAGTGTTGCGTTCATCCGGAAGGCCGGAGAAGGATCTCATGTTTCCCCTCTTCGTTTTTTCTAGAAACGCTAGAGAGACTGATAAACCTGTACATAAGAAACGCGATTCCTCGTGACTGTCTTTCAATAGCTCAATATGCTTATTGCAAGAAAAGTTCGGTGAATATCCCCTGTACACATTGGTAAAGTGGTCAGAGGAAGCCTTCACGCGTGAAGATTATGCAGTAAGGGCTTTCTGCGATATCGAGGGGGCTTCAACAATGTCACTCCAGAGGCAATAGTCAAGCATATTTAGGTTGAAACCAACCTAATAAGGCTTATCTACAGCTTACTTCGTGACAGAACTGTCGCGGCGGAGTGAGGGAGGGTTTGCACTCAGTGCAGAGTCAATAGGAGCACTCCACAAGGTGGTATTCCCTTCCCGCTGCTCTGGATTGCGGTTGTAAACGACCTTCTGTGAACTGGAAAAAGTGGGCTGTCGGGTGATCGCCTATGTAGATGATGTGGAAGTTTTGCTAAGGGATGATTTCTGTACACAATTTTTGATCTGGCTCAAGGTTACCTTAACCAGGCAACTAGGTGGGCGATCAACGGCGGCTGTCGTGGGAACTAAACATTTAGGAAAGGGTAGGAAAGGTGTCGGTTGCCTTGTACTTATGTATCGGTGAAAGGTGGGGTATCTCGCCCGAATTAATTCATTAGATATAGGAAACCAGATTTAAGCCTATATTGTTTCAAGGAGCCCTTGTCTAGTAGAACTCACTCGAGAAGGCTACACTTGTAAAACAGGAATTAGCGGAGCATTAGGAACTATACCTACACTGACGCTTAACAGACAGGATTGTCGCAGTACGAACTGCTATTAGGCTAAGGGAAATCGGGTGCTTTTGTGACATAAAAAAGGAAAAGAAGACGTTTCTCTGCTGCAGCAAATAGGGCAATTTAAAACACGTTACCTCTCAGGGGCTAGTGATAGGGGTTCTGACAGGCCATTGTGCTATTGGTATTCATGCGGTGAGACTAGGAATTTCAACTGATCCCTTTATATCAGCTGTCAAGAGGAAGATGAAGTGGAATCAACTCCACACTTTCTTTTAGACTGTCCAACCTTCGCGAGGCTAAGATGGTAGCATTTTGTCTCGCACTTCTGAACAAACACTGAGCTCTCAGGGATCGAAAGTAGCCGCATTCGAAATTTCGTAATCGGCTCACGGCGCACATAGGGGTATTTGAACGATTTAGGCGGTCAAAAACCAATTTTACAAAATTTTGGAGAAAACTTAAAAAATTAGTCGCTTTCGATAGAGAACATTCCAAATAACATTTCCCAGTCCCCCTCCCTTTTCTAACTTGCACAGCGAACGCTCACCGTTGACCGGAAGCAGAATATTCTAACGCTGCTTATAAATAAATTTTCGCTCTCTAGAAAGATCGTGACGGTTTTAAGTTAATATTTTGATTTCTGCATTGTATTCTTAAAAAATAGTGATGGATCCGCATACAGAAGGTAACAATGTATTTAAGGGTAAATTTTTTTAATCGTTTTATTAAGCAAAAGTTCAATTCAAATGTAACAAATATAGCGGTTTTCAACGAGTATTTTTTTGTTAATTTTTGTGAATATTAAGGAATTTGTTGTATCCCCGGGAGAGATCGCGTTATTATTCTTTGTTCAATTGAAAGCTTAGAAATTTTGCTAATATAGTGTGAAAAGACTGCCCGCAGAAAATCGCAGATAAGTGGTATTTCTTTACTTAGAAAATGTGTTAAGGAAAACTCTTAAAACGCAACCAGTATATAGTAACACAACACTAACACTAAAATTAAACTTTTTAGATGAATTTGAGGCCGCTGAAGTAGACTATGAATCCATTTAATTTAAAACATTAATAGTTTTCGAGATATTAGCAAAAGTCATGTTTTCAAGGACCTTTCGGTCCTGTTGCTAGAAATCTGCCGGAATGTAGGGCGAATCCAACTATGTTATATATGTATTTCGGAATAAACGCTTGTTTTCATTTACATTGGTGTTATATAAGTGATGATTTAAGAACTAGTTTTGGGTATACAAGCGTTTAAATTTAGATAAATGTCAATTTAGATAAATCTACGATATTTCAATAAATATTGTATCCAAATCGTTAAAAACTAGTATGTAAAGTAAAAAAAAAATTTAGAAAATGGGTGTGGCCCGCCCACTTATGATGAAATGCTGTATGCGCTTCACTAATCCGTACCAAACGAGTTCTTAGGCTATATCTAACATAACTGCTAAAAATTCTGGAATCGGGCGATAACCACGCCCACTTCCCATATAGCTACTGAAGCTAATTCACTCTAAATCGGTTCTTGGAATAACCTCTTAGCATTAAATAGAATTATTATAATTTTTTGGATATTGGGCGCCGCACACTTTTTACCACAAATGTATATCTCGGTAACCGATTTATTAATTTGTATGTATCAAACTCGGTGCACTTGGTATGGAAAAGCAATGCGTTGAAAATATGAGAACTCCGATATTTCAGTAATTGAGGACGATAATTTACTCCAAGTTAATACTTACAAAATTCTCTTAACAATAAATAATGTTATTATTACAAAAATGTAGTTTTATTACATTGGATGCGTTCGAGCTACGTAATAATTATCGCAATATTGCAGACTTGTTGCTTTCCTGATGACATGTTGCTGATGCTCAACTTAAACTTTTCTAAAAGGTTGCAGAAATTGCGCAGGAAAATTTTTTATGTTGCTTTTGCTTTGCCAATGATGAGTAACTGATTGCCAAAATTTTGTTCGCCCAAATTTTCGCGTAGAACGTGATATTCATTCTTTCATAAAAGAGTAACACTGCCGCATTAATTTCGGCTCGAACACACCTATTTCTTACCTATACTGTGATACATATTTGAATTATTTAATTCCTTTAAACCCTGGAAGGTTCCTTAGAGATAAAGCCTTTTCCGGGATTCATTTAACTAATTGAACAAAAGTTTTCAACAGGTGGCAACTCTGTTAGTGTTTTACCCTATATTTACTTGATTTTAAACATTTACAATTCTATATATCAAAACACGTATTTTCTAAACATTTCGAATTGAAATATTTATAAAATAATTTTGGCCGCATAAATCGGCTAAATACCCCTATGTGCGGCGTTAACTGAACCTAATCTAAGCTGTACTTCTTTGAGCTATGAAATAGTTGGTCACATTACTCATAAGCCATATCGTATATGGCAGTACTCTTACATACTACTACATGGCGTATGAGTAACATTTTCCATGTTACAGCCAGTTTTACCAAATTATTTAAGTGAAAATTTTCGAATTTTCGGTTTCACCAATCAATTTTAATTTTGATTTAAGTGACCTATGCTCTGCACTTAAATAAAAGTTAAATCAGAACAACCACACTCAGAGGTGTTACACGTTTAATCACCTGATCATTGTGTATCTGCTGCTTACTTGTATACCAGCCCTGCTTTTACAACACAACGTGCCAATGCTTTCAAAAGCTCTCAGTACAAATGAAAGCGAAAGCTAGTCCTAGTCTGTTTTACAACCACTTTTTACTCACTTAAATAAATGGTTTATTGAAACTGAAAATTATTTAAATGAGAATTAAATACAAAATTAAATTAAAGTTAATTTCCACTTAAATAGTTTGGTGAAACTGGCTGTTATTATTAAAGTTTGAATTTTCCTTCATGCGCAATGTAAACTTAAAATTAAAATATCTTGAGAAAATTACCTGATCTAGAAGAACGGTATACATATCATAACATATTCATATATTACGACCCAAAATTAAGTTTACGTGTCTCAGCGTTTTTTGTTTTGTCAATTTAGCGTCCTTACAGCGTAATTAAAGACATAAACAATTAAATAAGCTCCGCATAATTTCACTTTATGCTGCTGAGAAATATCTAAAACGAATTTTTGTCGCCTTATTGCAATTCTGTCAGCAATGTCTTAAAGACTGAGTGCCTTAATGTTCATTTAGAACAACATTAGCGAAAGCGTGCTGCCAAACCATATGAGATTGAAAACTACCAAAACTTTTTGCATTAGAATATTCTGTTACAAATCTCGCCACTGAGAACCAAACTTTTTAGCTAAATTTATATTTATTTACTTATGTATGCCAATGCGTGAGGGCACGCGTATTTGCGGGAAAGCCTCTCAAATTTTCAGTCACGTTTTGGCGGCAGTGAGGCAAACAAACAAAAAAAAAAACGCTTAATGCGAGCCACAAGAGTAGAACAAAAATGTTCAAAGCAAAGCAAGAGCAAAGCATTTTGTTTCAATACATGCATGTATATATGCATGAGGAGCTGTTTTGTTTTTGATTGTGCTGCCTGTGGTTTAGCAGCTAAAAGCACGTACGCATAAAAGAGGCTATCAATTACTTGGCGCTGTTTGGGTTAGTCGAATTTTGGTCCCGATATAAAGTCTTACACAAGTTTGCATACGTAAAGTGGCAGTTAAGAATATAATTTTGGCGAAATGCCGTTGTTTATACCCTAAGAGAAGGAGTTTATTTTTCAAATTTCTTCTTATTTGATTTATTTATAGCCTTTGTTTTATTTCTTGAACTTAATTATAACTACGTTGTCTAAGTATATTATTTATTTACTCTTATGTATTTCAACACTTTCACTTAATTTCACCCTCATTTTGTATTGTTTGCTTTCTTTTAGGCTCCTGCCCTCCCTCCTATTTTACGTGCACTGATGGCAGCTGCATACCGATGCGCTGGAAATGTGACTCGAAGCCCGATTGTGCTGATGGCTCCGATGAGCCGAGTGAATGTGGTGAGTGCTTGATGGCTAAAGGCTGATGGCTGATGGCTGATGGCTGGTGATGATGATGAAGTAACTGAGCAATAATTGTCAGTTTTTAAGAGATTAATATTTACATTTTTGTGTTATGTATCAGATAGCTTCTGACAAAAAATTGTAGATTTGTAGTGAAAATTGGGGAACATATATACATATGTAAATATCTCATGGCTACTGTTAACAGATTCTGCTGTCAAAATGGTTTTCAATTTTGTATATGAATTGTTTCGATTTCACGTCGAAATGCTGTCAAAATCCATATCCATATGACTTTAGAATTTTCCGTTTTGCGTTATATAATTCTAATCAGGGACCGTAAACGTAAAGTATGATCGGAACTAAATGTCGTTCTCGCAGTTTTGTTCCCAAAAACGTTTCAAAACCAAAACCAACATGAGTACAAAACTGTCGAGAACGTTATCAATGGGAATTACATATGTATATAGGAATAAAACCCTGTGGAACGTTCCCAAAGAGAACAAAATGCGAAACTATACTTTCGCGAACATTTCTAAGAGAACAAAATGAGAAGAAAAGTCTTGGCAAAGAACAAAACTGAAACAAAAATCTAAGGAACTTTCTCTCGAAGAACAATTTGGGAATTAAAGGAACTTTCTGAACTATTCGCAAAGAATCGAAGCGAGAACAAAATGTGTGTCGTAGCGTTCCACGAGTTTGAAATGTTTGGTTATTAAAATTAATCAAAAAAGAACTGAAATATGCAAACAAAGTCAACGAAAGACTTTTTTTACCCAAATTTTACGACCAAAAATTAAGTTTACGACAGGCGTCTGCGTATTGTTGTGTCATTTTAGCGTCCGTACAGTGTTATGAATTTACATTTCTCATTATCAATTTGTATTTTCTTATTATAAACTTGGAAAACTTAAAACAGAAATTTTTACCAATACACACGTACATTTCATCCCATTTCACTTAATTTCGTTTCATTCCAATTCATTTCCATTTCCATCATTCCATTAATTTCATTTTATCCCCAGGTCTTTTTATCTTTATCCTCACCTAGTTTTCAAATTCAATAATAATGTCTTAAATGTTTTTTTTTTCAATTGCAGTGAACGCCTCCAAATGCAATGAGGGACAATTTCAATGCACACGTTCACGCAAATGTATACCCAACAATTGGGTATGCGACAGCGAGTACGACTGCGGCGAATTCGATACATCCGACGAGACGAACTGTGAGTATAAAATTATGGGCTTATTTCTAAGCAAAATATTTCGATTTAGCTAATTGCATGCTTAGTGCGCAGAGCATAACAGCCTACATACAGAAAAATACCAATGACTCATATTTTTTAAATTTCAAACCAAAAAACCAGGTCACTCGGATGAATTGAAATGCCTCCCGTATCAGAGCGAATGCAGCAACGGTGTTTGCCTGGACATATCGCGCTTCTGTGATGGCGTCTGGGATTGTGATAGCGACGAGCTCAAGTGTGGTAAGCTCATACCGATGATCCGTATGGCTTTGCAGTTAACGAAAACCTATTATTTTTCCCTTCAGATACACAGGATGCGCAGTGCGCACAACTTAATTGTTCCTTCAACTGTAAGCTGACAACGCGCGGCGGTCCCACCTGCTATTGCCCGCCGGGCCAAGAGCCTGTCAACGGCACGCTGTGTGCAGACTTCGACGAGTGCAGCGTGGAGGGTACTTGCGACCAGCTGTGTCGCAATACGCCCGGTTCCTACGAATGCACCTGCGTGGCGGGCTATGTGAAGCAAAAGAATCGCTGCATGGCGATAAATGGTTAGTAAAACAGACTAACGAAAAATTATCCAGACACTTTGTAGTCTGAAAAGTAAAAAGCAAATAAACCAACGCTTGCTTTTTGTTTGCTCTCCACAGTGCCGAGCAGTGAAAACGCCTCGTTGGTATTTTTCACGCAAACGGATATGCGTCGCATCAACAGCAACGGTGAGTTGCTGGACCACATGGTGTCGGGCGAGGTATCGGCCATTGAAATTTGGCACCGCAATCGCACCGTGTGCGCCATGTACTCGAGCGCCTGGACGACGGTCAGCATGCGTTGCCATCGCATCGATAATCTGAACGCCAGCTGGCCCATGGCTCTGCCGGCAATGGTCGCCAGCATGCACTGTAAGTATACAAACATCTGATGCAGCTGGCACGCGCGTATATTCATATGATTTCATTATCGTCTTGCAGCCATCGATAAATTGCGCCTGGACTGGATAACGGGCAACTGGTATTTTCTCAACAATGAGCTGAGCCTCGTATTCATGTGCACGAATTCGATGCAGTATTGCAATGTGCTGCTTGAGGATGTAATGAATCCGTCGTCGTTGGTTTTGGATCCCACCAAAGGGTAGGCACAGCAGGCGTTTTTTGTTATTTTCTGTGTGTACATGTGTGTGTAATTACAACAGTAAATCTTTTCTCTTTCTCACTTGCATGCACTTTCATGTCATGTAATTACACAATCGCCGCTACTGTCGCATATACTTGAATGTGATGCAGTTTCATATTTTTCACCGAATGGAGTCCCAGTTTGTCACGCGTCACTCTGGATGGCCGCAATCGCACCATTTTGGTATCCACGCAAATTTATTATCCCAGCCGCATGACATTGGATTTGCCCAACGAGCACATTTACTGGATAGACATTTACAAGGATTTCATTGAGCGGGTCGATTACGAGGGACGCAATCGCTGGGCCATGAAGAAGACCGCAGATGTAAGTAAAAAGTCTGATAAAACCGTTGATCGTGGGTAACTATAAGCAAATCAGTGTGAGCTTAAGCTGACCCAGACGCACGGTGCTTAAAATAAAAAAATACTATATTTTTGTGCGAATCTCTAATGGGAAGCGCAAAAATTTAATCTTGAACTAAAACAAAAACATGCAGGTACAACAGGGCGTATGAGTAATGTTTCGCTTATTTAAATGTATTAGCCACCTGGGCGTATGAGCGATTTTTAAAAATTCGCTGAAAACATCAACTCGCCTCTATTCAAAACGTCATAACTTCATCAGTTTTTATTGATCTTAATTTCATGCTGACTACTAAATTTTTTAGAGCGAAGTGCAGAAAAAGTAGCAACTTTGAAGAAAATCGATTCTCCTGTTCCAGTTAATAAATATTACAGAATAAAAACTAGTTGAAAACAATTGTAGGGTTCCCTCAAAACGAAAAAAAAATTACAAAAAAAAAATTTGAAATGTTATACAAAAATTATTACCAAAATTATTATTTTTTAGTTTTTGGAAAACTTTTTCGTTTGCAGTTTTATAGGTCATTGAATTTTAATATAATAAAGTTCAAGTTGCAAGTGGGTAAGAGTTCGCGTTGATTATCAATAATATATGTATATAATGAGAATGCGAATAAGATTGCAAAAACCAATTTTTTTGAATATTGGTGAACATTTGTTTTATAATATTTCAAAGATTTCTTGTTAAATTTTTTTCAATTTTGGGGAACTCTACAATTGTTTTAAACTAGTTTTTATTTCTTAACTGGAACAGGAGAATCGATTTTCTTCTTTTTCTGCACTAAGAAATTTAATATAAACAAAAATCGAGTTCAAGTGGTCTCTTGATAATTTATAAGCTTTCATGTAAAAAAAAAAAATTAATCAAATTGGTTGAAAAATGAAGGCTTCAGTAAATTAAGAATAGCAATTTCCAGTTTTGAACCACTGTGCGACGGTGCGGCAACACGGTTTCTATGTGAAACTAGGGATACGCACGGAGCAACATGACATAGTTGCTTCAAGTGTTGTCTCTTGTCTAGTCAGCATGGTATATACATATATTATTTTTTTTTTGACTATGAAATGAGCTGCGCACTTAAACCAAGTCTGCTGAGAGCACTCCCCTTTGGTCCAACCCTGTCGAAGCAGCACTAACCGATTTGTGCCCGAGCCTAGTAGTGCAAATAACTTTTCATGCCAAATAAATTGTATGCTGTTCCTCCAATCTTACCGGGTTAATCATCTTCTATATGCAGACTCACGTTGTGCTGAAATCGCTGCATGCCGTGGAAGTCTTTGAGAACACTGTCTACATAGCGCCCTGGGTGGACACAGTGATTGTTAAAATCAACAAATTCACATTGGAAGCTGAGGAAATAGTCAAGGATGCAGAGAGACCATACGATTTTCGCGTATTTCATCGACAAAAGCAGCCAGAGGGTAAGTGAAGGTGGACGGAGACATTTTTAATAACTAAAAAAAAAAAAAAATAACCAGAAAAAGTACATTCAGCTTCCTTTAATATTTTCATTGCATATTTACTAATATTTGACGCGCCATTAGCAATTATTGTCGCATTAGTCTTGCTGTTCGCATATTTATACAATGTACATACATAGTGTATATTCTCCAGTTTACTACTTTTCCATTCACTCCCTTTTTAACCCCCCCTCTCTCTCTCTCTCCTTGTTCACGCGCTTTCCCCTACAGTGGCACATCCATGTCGCGATAACAACGGCAATTGCAATCAAATATGTGTTCCGTTATGGACGAAAAATTTCGCCACCGCCCAATGCCAATGCACAGCGGGCTATAAATTACGCAACCGCACCGATTGCATACCGGTACGAAATGACAAATTTCTGCTTTATGCCAAGGAGCGTTTGGCCAGCATCACCGGCGTATCGTTGAACGCACAGGATGTGCAACAGTTGCTCAAACGCGGCGAGCATACCGATGCCATAGTGCCCATATATAATGTTACCAGACCGCTGAGCGTCGATGTGAATGTGCGCGACAAGTTGGTGTATTTTGTGGTGATGAAAGCGTAAGTATTGGTTATGCCCAGAGGGTGGACGGATGTGCACCCACTCGCAGCCACTCTCAGCCATATTCATACGAAACTCGTTTATTTCTTCACCGCTCCATTCATTTGCAGCTCGAGTTACGCACTCTACAGCCAGTCGATTGCAACTGCAGAGCGTATGGTGCTGGCCAATGGCAGCGAAAGTTCGTCGATCGTGGCGTACGATTGGATTGCACAGCATCTGTATTGGGGTGAGAGCAAATCGTTGCGTGTGGCGCCAGTTAAGAATATGAGCAGCTCCTTTACACTACCATTAGTTGAAATGCCAATGTGAGTAACGCATCCAATTTTTCAATTCAATTTTGTTATGAATTCCTCTGCCTGTTCTGTTCACTCAGCTCTTTGGTACTCCATCCCACCGAGGGCATGCTATATTTCTCGCATTGGCTGGGCGATGCGAAAGGCAAAATTTTTAGTGCCTGGCTCGATGGCACACACAAAAAGCAGCTGGCTGAAAGCGTCAAGGATATGCCAATGTTGTGGCCGCTCAGTTTGAGCATCGATCGCAGAGGCAAAAAGTTGTATTGGTAAGCTGACTGGCATACGCTGCCCTACATATTTTATGGATTTGCTATTAATTTTCCTCGAATAGGTGCGATGTGAAAGCGAACAGCATAGAACGCATGAATCTGGATGGCTCGCAGCGCGTGGTGCTCTTCAAGGATGCTGAGTACCAGCCTTTATCCGTGGCCTTCCACAATGGCGTCGTCTTCTGGGTGGATAAGAAAAATGGCGCCATACGCCGCTTCACAGTGCATCACAATACAAAAGCGGCATTGAAAGGAAGGTGACTATCCACTCAGAGCACACTAGTAGCTAAGAAAGAAAATAATTGCAATAAAGTAACTTTAATTTTCTTTTAGTCAAACGGACGTACATCTTGTGGAACGCGGCGATACCACTCACTTGAAAGCATTCGACGTCGTCAGCCAGCCAGCAACGACTGTCATGAATGCGTGTGCAAAATCCAAGTGTCCGGGCATCTGCTTGAATACGCCACAGGGTCCGGTCTGTCGTTGTCCAAATAACTTCAGACTCAGCAGCAATGGCCTGCAGTGCACGCCACAGGTGGTGGTAAGTGAGCCATCGAACAATTGCACTACGGGTTTCCAGTGCGCCAAAAGCAGCCAGTGTGTGGATGCAAAGGACGTCTGCGATGGCTTTGACGACTGTAACGATGGCAGCGATGAGAGTAGCGAGCCGAATGGACCGTGCAATACGAAGAAATGCGACTTGAGCTTGCATTTCATCTGCAATGAGCGGTGCTATCAGCGCGCCTTGTTGTGCAGTTCGATTGCCTACTGCAAGGATGGCACCGATCAGACGAATTGCGAGACGCATACCTGCAACAGCAACGAGTTTGCGTGCGCGAAGAGTGGCAAATGTATCCAATTGTCGTGGGTGAACGATGGCGTGGCCGATTGCGGTGAGTGAGGCGCAGTGATGGCACCGAAGCTGATGAGTTGACATTTCTATTGCCTATAAAAATATGAATATTTTGTATTCTTGTAAATTTGAAGTGAGTAAATTCCATGCATTTCAATTTAGGTCCAGATGACTCTTCGGACGAGATGGCAGAATATCCGCTTGATGAAAAATGTCCAGAATTTGACTGCAAGAATGGCAAGTGTCGTCCCTTTTCTGACGTGTGCGATGGCGTAGATCAATGCGGGTAAGTAGCCAGAAAGGTATTTTATTGTACCCCTTACAATTTCCCTCACTTTCAATTAATTTCGTTCATCTGCTTCTTAAAATTACAGCGACAATTCCGACGAACGCGGTTGTGAGTTCGAGTGTGGCCGCGATGAGCATTATTGCGCACCTATTGGCTGTTATGGCGAACTGCACATGTGCGACGGTGTCCATGACTGTTTCGATGCCAGCGATGAAGCTAATTGCAATGAGACAAAGAGCGATAACCATCCAGTGGATCTGGGTGAGGCACACGTTTGTGGGCCCTTTGAATTCGGTTGCAACGACCCGTTCGAGTGCATACCGGAGTTTCTGCGTTGTGACGGCATTGCCCACTGCTTTGATAAATCCGACGAACTTAACTGCACGACGCTGCATCCCTCCAAAGTGGACTTCAATGAGACATTGCTTTCGTGTGAGGTACCAGATCGGCTTTGCGCGGTGTCGAATAAGTGCATCAACGTACACCAACTATGCGACGGTAACATTGACTGCGAGGACACGACCGATGAGGGATTTCTCTGTGCCGACAAAATGTGCGATAAAACCAATGAGTGCTCGCACTACTGCCACAATGCGCCCGAGGGTTTTGTGTGCTCGTGCCCGCCGCACATGTACTTACAGCCGAATGGGCGTCGTTGCAGCATGCAGCATGCCTGTGAGCACTGGGACACTTGCTCGCAAATTTGTGAGACTGTCGGCAAGGTGTACGAGTGCAAGTGCCACGAAGGCTATGCGCTGGAGTACGACCGCTTCAGCTGCAAGAGCACCGCTTCCGACGACCCTTATGTGATATTTACCAATCGGCAGGAAATTCGTGGTGTCAACTTGAAAAAGTCTGTGGTCAGTAACTTTTATACGTCGTTGCGCAACACGATCGCTTTAGATTTCCTGTACAACAATGAGTCGGTGCAGATTTTTTGGACAGATGTGATCGACGATAAAATATATCGAGGCTATTTGGTGGGCGAGAGTCTGCGCAAAGTGGAGGCGGTTGTGCACTCGGGCCTGTCGACTACGGAGGGCTTGGCGGTGGATTGGATCGGCATGAATTTGTATTGGGTTGACTCAAATCTGGATCAGATCGAGGTGGCCAAGCTGAATGGCAGTTTTCGCCGAACGCTAGTTGCCGGCGATATGGAGAGTCCGCGCGCTATTGCGCTCGACCCTCGTGAAGGCTTACTTTTCTGGACCGACTGGGATGATAATTTTCCACGCATCGAGCGCTGCTCCATGGCTGGTGAACAGCGGCGAACTATCTCGACCACTTCGCAGGTGTCGGCCGGTTGGCCAAACGGTCTGACCCTGGATTACACACAGAAGCGCGTGTATTGGGTGGATGCTAAGTCAGACTCGATATCGACCATTAAATATGACGGCTCCGACCATCATTTAGTGGTGCGCGACAAGGACATATTATCGCATCCCTTCGCGATATCCGTATTCGAAAACTACGTTTACTGGACAGACTGGCGAACTACGTCTGTCATACGGGCCAACAAATGGAATGGCTCCAACATACAGGTAATACAACGCACGCAAACGCAGCCATTTGGCATACAAGTGCTGCACTCTAGCCGACAGCCCCAGGCCGAGAATCCATGTGGGAAGAACAATGGCGGCTGTTCGCATTTGTGTTTGCTTACGTAAGTAGTGTTGAAAAGTGAAATGACCGATGACTATTTTCGAATATAATTATTGCTGTTTTAGCGTAAAAAAGGGTTACAAATGTGAGTGCCCACATATTATGCGTCTGGATCCGACAGACCAACGTACTTGCGTGCCCAATGAACAGGTGCTGCTCTTCATAATGGGCGACGAGATACGTGGCATTGATTTGATGCAACCCAACCATCACACCATACCCACTATAAGGCAATCGCCGCAGGTAATCTATGCACCAACACTTAAATGTCGATAATTTTAACCATTTATGATCATTTTTTAGGTGCTGGCGCCGCAACGCATTGACTTCACCGTAGACGATAGCCGCATCTACTGGTCAGATATACAGTTAAATGAGATAAAAACGGCTGGTATATCCAATGGACTCATCGAGACCATCATAAACACGGACATACAGAAGCCGTATGGTTTCGCGATAGACTGGATAGCGCGGCACATGTACTTTTCGACTGGCAAGACGAAATGCCAAATATTGGCAAGTAATTTGAAAGGGGAGTTCGTCACTGAAATACACAGAGACCTCAATCTGGTGGAGAGTATTGCTTTGGATCCCGCGAAGTAAGTTTGGCTGGGAAACCTATCGGAGTGTAAATAAATTTGTAACATACGCTCTTTTCAGCGGTAAAATGTATTGGATACATTCGGAACGCGACTCAAAACTGTGGCTAATTGAGCAGAGTAATTTGGATGGATCATCGCGTAGCATTGTTTTCCAGCAGAACAAGACATTGCTGAGCTTAACGATGGACTTTGACTCGCAGCGCTTATACTACGTCTACGACAATTCTGGCATTGCCTATTATGACATTGTGCGCAGAAGCGTAGTTGAAGCGCTACCCTCAAGTGATGTGATGACCATAAGCTCGGTGACGGTCTACAATGGTTCCTTGTACTTTCCGGAAAACATACAAAGCGTGATTATGAGCTGCGAAAAGGATTCTTGCCAAAACTTGATCAATCTGCGCAAAAATACTAGTGCGTTCTATTTGTAAAGGCACTTTTTGATTAGCTAAACTTGGTATTTTTGTTTCCTTTTGCAGAGAGTATTCAATCGCTGAAGATGTTCTACTCGGAGGCCCAGACCGGCACGAACACATGCGCCGGCCCGGAGCGTGGCGGCTGTGAACATCTCTGCTTGGCTGTCTCAGCCACGGAACATGTCTGTCGTTGTGCCATTGGATATGAAATACTCAATACGAATATTACTCGCTGCGTAGGAAAAGAAGAATTCATTTTCTACTCTAATCACGAACTCAAAGGCATTGACCTCTATGATGCCAACAGACCGGACGAAAATCTGGAAGAACGACCGGTAAGTGAGCAATTGATGCAAATCAAATTCAAACACATGTACATATATATGTATTTGAAATTTTCTTCTCAGGCACTTGGACCCATCTCACGTATCTCACTGGCCACATATATCGACTATCTCGCCGCCGGCGACTACTTATATTGGGGCGACAATGAGCGCGGCACCATCTCGCGCATCAAACGCGATGGCACACAGCGCATGGACATACTACCCGCCATGGATACAATTGACCCTAAGCAGCAAGATTGGCTTGGAGGCATTGCCGTCGACTGGGTGGCAGGAAATATTTACTGGAGTGATATGAAACGCAATCTGATCGAGGTTGCACGTCTCGACGGCGCTCACCGGCACGTCGTAGTTTCCAACGTAGAGTCACCCACAGCGCTGGCCGTCGATCCAGTGCAGGGCTTGCTATTCTATGTGGGTAATGGCATAATAGGACGTACGGGTTTAGATGGAAGCCAATCGTTTATACTGGTCAATCAGACGGGCACCGTTAGCAATCTCATTTTGGACATCGAAGCGACGAAGGTGTATTGGTGTGACAGCGGTGCTAACAGCATCATGAAGGTGGACTACGACGGCAACTTGAAGACTCCGCTGCTCAATCGCAGTCTCGATAACCCGGTGGCGCTGGCCAAACTCGACGACTACCTCTACTGGGCGGACAATAACAACAATAAGGGCAGCATAAAGGTCGCACCAATTACCAATTTGTCGAACTATAAGGAAATACTTAAGTCGGAGGGTAATTCATTGAAAGATTTGAAAGTATTTTCGCATCGAGTGCAGAAAGGCATCAATATTTGTACCGAAAACAATGGCGGCTGCGAGCACCTGTGCCTCTTCAATGGCACTAGCGCCATTTGCGCGTGTTCGCATAGTCGGGTTGCAGCTGATGGCAGTTCCTGCGAGCCATATGACAATTTCATACTTTTCTCTTATCGCAGCACCATCGAAAGTATTCATATGACCGATCATACGAACAAAAATGGGCCGATACATGCGGTACACAATACGACTTTCATGAGGAATGTAATCGCGTTGAGTTACGATTACGAGAACAGTATTATATTCTACTCCGATGTACAGATGAGCACAATCAATTCAGTGCAATTTAACGGTAGTCGTAATCAGGTGCTTGTCAACCATCAGGGACGTGTTGAGGGTCTCACGTACGACATTGTGAATAAGATGCTGTTTTGGACCTCGAATAACGATGCGTCTATACGTAGCTTGGAGCTTCAGTATGTTTCGGAGAACGCCGATAACAATACTCAGTTCGTAAAGAGCCTTTTGATGCTTAACTCGAATGATAAGCCACGCGGAATCGCAGTAGAACCCTGCATGGGCATGATATATTGGACGAATTGGAACGAGGAGACGCCGTCTATACAGCGCGCATATGTAACCGGCTATGGCGTCGAGTCCATCATACGTACGGACGTAAAAATGCCCAATGCACTGACTCTGGACTTCGAAGAACATAAACTGTACTGGGCGGACGCGCGTCTTGACAAAATCGAACGGGCCAACTACGATGGTACGCATCGCACTGTGCTTGCGCATTCCACACCGAAGCACGCCTTTTCGATGGCCGTTTATGGCGATTTACTCTTCTGGACTGATTGGGTGCTGCACGCTGTGGTGCGAGCGAGCAAGTACTCAGGTGCGGATGTGGTGTTTTTGCGAGAGAACATCGATCGACCAATGGGCATCATCGCCGTCCAGAACACCACCATCAATTGTGACTCGAACCAATGCAAGATCTTGAATGGCGGCTGTGAGGATGTTTGTATCCTGAGCAAAAACGGCACTGCGAGTTGTCAGTGCACGAGGGGCACACTGGCGCCAGACGGACGCCGCTGTCTATTGTTGCCTAATACGAGCTGTGGAAAAGAGCAATTCTCTTGTGTCTCTGGCGAATGCATTCCATTCGAGTTGACGTGCGACAATATCACTCATTGTCTCGATGGCTCCGACGAGCTGCGCAGCTACTGCATAATACGCGAGTGTCCGGTGAACTTCTTCATGTGCAACAACCACCGTTGCATACCTCAGAATCGAACATGCGATGGCATACATCAATGTGGCGATGGTTCCGACGAGTCGGAGTTGGTGTGCAAATGCGAGCCCGACAAGTTTCGTTGCAACAGCGGCGAGTGTATTTCCAAGCAGTTCGTTTGTGATAATGTGCGCGACTGCAAGGACTTCAGCGACGAGAAGCACTGTTCGCCTCGAGAATGCCCCAGCGGAGATGTTCTGTTCGAACACTGTGCCAACTCTACCGCTTGCTTCATGCCGTCTTGGCGTTGTGACGGAGACAATGATTGTCCGGACGGCAGTGACGAAACGAATTGCGAAAGCGTGCATAAAGTAGCCTGTGGACCTGGTCATTTCCAATGCCCCAATGGACGTTGTATAAATGAGAAATGGCGGTGCGATGGCGAGAATGACTGCAAAGACGTGGTGGGTGCGTTGAGTGCCGATGAAGTGGGTTGCCGTGTGCAATGTCGCAAGAGCGAGTTCCACTGCGGCAATAGCTGTATACCAAGTAGTTGGCAGTGTGATGGTAAGCCCGACTGCGACGATGGTTCAGATGAGGGAACACAGTGCCCAAATAGAGTTTGTCGGCCACACTTTTTCCAGTGTAAATCTTCAGGACGTTGCATACCGCAGAAATGGGTGTGCGATGGTGAACATGACTGCCCGGCACCCGGGAGCGAGGACGAGGGCAAGCATTGTGCAGCAGGGTCGGTGGCGCATGAGCTGGAGTGTTTGCCACCGTCTTTCCTTTGTTCGAATGGCGTATGTCTGGATCGGCGCTATGTTTGCGACGGCGACCACGATTGTCCGGATGGCGATGATGAGTATGAAAATTGTGAACCTTTTCCACAAGCGCAAGTTTGCGATGGCGATACTGAGTTCCAATGCCACGACATGCAATGCATTTCAAAGAATCTGACATGCGATACCAAACCCGACTGTGTGGACGGCTCCGATGAAGATGCACAACTTTGCGCACACTCTCACAACTTGTGCCAGGGGCCTGGTGATTTCCGGTGCAAAAATGGCGCTTGCATCTCAACAGATTTGCTCTGCGATGGGCGTAACGATTGTGCGGACTTCACAGACGAAGAGCTCTGCAATGTGAACGAGTGTGTTATACCGGATCTGTGCGAGCACACCTGTGTGGATAAGGTCATCGGCTTCGAGTGCCAGTGCAATCCGGGATACAAATTGCTTGCTTCCAATCATCACTTATGCGACGACGTGGACGAGTGCCATGAGCAGCATCCCTGTTCGCAGATCTGCGTCAATACATACGGATCTTACAAGTGCCTTTGCGGCAAGGGCTATGAGTTGGTGGACCACAATACTTGCAAAGCAACAAGCAATGAGACTGTGAAGTTCATTTTTGCTAACCGCTACTACATACGACAGGTGGACATGCGCGGCAACGGATCCATACTCATCCACCAGCTGTCGAACGTTGTGGCCTTGGACTTCGATTGGGAAACCAAGTGCCTTTACTGGTCGGATGTGACGTCTACGGTTGGTATGATAAAGCGTTACTGTCCCGCCGAAAATAAAACAACCACATTGCATCAAGCGATGGTGAAGAACCCCGATGGCTTGGCCGTTGACTGGGTGGCTAAAAACCTGTATTGGTGTGACAAAGGTTTGGACACAATTGAGGTCTCCAAGCTAGATGGTAAATATCGACGTGTGCTAATCAACGAGAACTTGCGGGAACCCCGTGGTGTTGCATTGGACCCCTTCAATCGGCATATCTTCTGGTCGGATTGGGGAGACAACCCACACATTGGGAAAGCCGGCATGGATGGCTCCGATCCGCATGTGATCATAAGAGATAACTTGGGTTGGCCAAATGCGCTTACCATTTCCTTCGAAACCAACGAGCTGTTTTGGGGCGATGCGCGCGAAGACACTATTTCCGTATCCGATTTAGATGGTAAAAATATTCGTCTTTTGCTGGCGCGCAGTATCAACCCGCAGCTAAACTTGCACCACATTTTCGCAATCGCCGTATGGGAGGATAAGATCTACTGGTCCGACTGGGAGACAAAGTCCATTGAATACTGCAACAAATACAATGGGCAAAATTGCTCAACACTTGTCACCATCATTCACCGACCGATGGATTTGCGCGTCTATCATCCGTACAGACAGCAGCATCCGACGACACCCAACCCCTGCTTGACGGCCGGCTGCTCAACGCTGTGTCTGCTTGCACCGGATGCACCCTATTACAAGTGCGTTTGTCCAAATAATTTTGTGTTAGGCGAGGACGGAAAGTCCTGCCATGCTAACTGCACCGCTGCACACTTTGAGTGCGCCAACACATACAAGTGCATTCCCTTCTACTGGAAGTGTGACACGCAGGACGACTGCGGAGATGGAAGCGATGAACCAGAAACATGCCCAACCTTTCACTGCGAGCCAGGCCAATACCAATGTGACAACAAGAAATGCATTTACCCCTCTGCTATTTGCGACAACGTCAACAACTGCGGCGATAATTCGGATGAGGGAAACTGCGAAAAATTCACCTGCTTCGAGAACAACATGAAATGTGAAGCGTCGACAAACACAAGCGCCTTCTGCATAAGCAACGGAAAGAAATGCGATGGTGTCACTGACTGTCCAAACGGAGAGGACGAGGCTGGCTGCACGCCACTCGTCTGCAACAAGGAGCAGTTCCAGTGTGGCAACAACCGTTGTATGCCCTACGTGTGGGTATGCGATGGAGACGTCGACTGCCCGGACAAATCGGACGAGGAAGGCTGTGACTTGGTCACATGCGAGCCACAAGACTTCCAGTGAGTCTCCTAGCGATAGGCAACTTCTTTTTGATTGTTTATTAACTAACTTCTCACTTAGGTGCAATTCTGGGCGCTGCATTCCGATGGCTTGGCGCTGTGATGGCGAGAACGACTGCCCGAATGGCGAGGATGAGCCACCGACCTGCCATTCCTCGAAGGAGAGCTGTGATCCTACCTACTTCAAGTGCAATAACTCTAAATGCATACCTGGCCGTTGGCGCTGCGACTATGAGAACGACTGCGGCGATGGCAGCGACGAGCTGAACTGCCAGATGCGCAACTGTTCGGAGAGTGAATTCCGTTGTGGCACCGGCAAGTGTATCAAACACGACTATCGGTGCGATGGTGAGATACATTGTGACGACAGCAGTGACGAGATCAACTGCAACATTACGTGCAAGACGAATCAGTTCAAGTGTGCGGCATTTAATACGTGCATAAACAAGTAAGTGACCAGGGTGAATAGTGAGCTGAGTTCTTTGTGAGTAGAAACACTCATTTTATGCAATCTAGGCAATATCAATGCGATGGAGACGATGACTGTCCAGACGGCTCGGACGAGGTGAACTGCACATGCCCAGCGAACTATTTCACTTGCGCCAATGGGAAATGTATAATGTCCCGATGGAAGTGCGATGGCTGGGATGACTGCACCGACGGCAGTGATGAAAGTATCGCCACATGCGCGCACGAGCACTGCCACGCCAATGCATTCAAGTGAGTGAGCGTGGGAAATGTGTGTGGGTTTGCGCCTAATCGCTTTCATATTTTGCAGATGTTCCAATTTGAAATGTATACGCAAATCGGCATTGTGTGATGGAGTGAACGACTGTGAAAATCAGGAGGATGAATCGGATGAGGTATGCGCCGCACTACCAAAGTGTCGGCACGACCAGTTCCAGTGCGAGAATGATGATTGCATTTCGAAGAGCTTCCGCTGCGATGGACAATACAATTGCATAGACGGCTCGGATGAGATGAATTGCCAGCCACCGGTTTGCGGTTTCGGCACATGCTCGCAGATTTGCATAGAGAAGAAAGCCGGGCACTACAATTGCAAATGCACGGAGGGCTATCAGAAGGGACCGAAAAAGAACGACACATGCTTGGCTGCAGGTAATGCAAGAAGATATATGTAAGCTTAAAATTATTTGTTTTTAATCATTTATTTTTTTTAACTTTAAGGCCCCGATCAAATCCTTTTACTCGCTTCTGAGCAAGAGTTCCGTTTCATTTTGCCGGCCAAACAGGAAGGCACCACGGTAGTGGGTTTCTTCCAAACCGATAGCCTGAAAATCGATGTCTTCGACATTCTCATTAGACCCAAGGACACACTCCTCTTCTGGATCGATTCGCACCATGGCAAAGTGCATACAATGAAAATCGCCACACCACACGCCGAGACGGGAACGCGCATGCGCAGAGATTTAAAAGAGCTAACCGCTTTTAATGTGAGCATTACGGGTTATTTATTAAAGAACATAATCTAAAAAATTTTACTTTTACTTATGTAGATACCCGATTTGAATGATCCCAAATCTCTGGCTGTGGACTGGATTACGCAAATGGTGTACATAATCGATTCGCGTCACAATCAGATCATTGCAACGGATATTGACGGCAAGAAGTACGTTTCATTAGCGTCGACCGGTATGAATCCGACCGATATTGTGCTCGAGCCGGAATCGCGTATTATGATTTGGTCCACATTAGAAAATGGTATTTTGGTTGCGTCGCTCGATGGTACCAATAAGAAAAGCTTAGTCGAACGAGACGTTGGCTGGCCCATAAGCTTGTCGATTGACTATCCGACTGGCCGCTTATACTGGGCTGACTACCGTAAAGGCACTATCGAGACGTGTCGCCTAAATGGCAAAGACCGCAACGTCGTTCGACGTTTTTCGAATAAGGGTAAGGAAAGTAAAAATACATGCGCAGTTACAGTTTCTGAAAAATTCATTTATCAACAGAGAAGCCGCAGAAAATTGACGTATTTGAAGATTATCTGTACATAAAATTGTACGATCAAAGCATAATAAAAATGAACAAATTTGGTGTGGATAACGGCACATATCTGCTGAAAGGGTATCGTTCATCTGATATCGGAATATTGCATCCACTGAAACAGAATCGCAATAGTGAGTATGAATAGAGGGCACTTATTTACATAATTCAGGCATAAAATTTTAAATCATCCACGCAAAATCGGAAGCCAGCAGTTTTAGTAACTTTGAATTTTCTTTTCAGTCACAAATCCTTGCGCAAAAGAGCCTTGCAAAATAAAACGCGCGCTCTGCATTCTCTCCTCCGAGGCGCGCAATGGCTTCGCCTGTAAATGTTCCAACGATCTTATCATGGTCGACGATGAGTGTAAGGCGCACACCGAGGTACCCGACTACTGTCCGCTGAAATGCAATCTGGGCACATGCAAAGTGATCGATCATGTGCCGAAATGCATCTGCCAGCCGCAGTTCGAGGGTGAACTTTGTGAGCACTCACGTTGTTCCGGCTACTGTCTAAACTATGGCCTCTGTACCGTGGCACCCCAACTGCCGGGTTCCTCTGAGCCGCCACCGCTGAAATGTAGCTGCACGCCCGGCTGGTCTGGTCCGCGTTGTGAGACCTCAGTACCAGAATGTCAGAGTCGCTGTCATAATGGTGGATCGTGCCTGATCACAGAAGAGGGCATGAAGTGCACCTGTCCGGAGTTGTATGTCGGTGAGCAGTGTGAGCACTGCGTGAATTTGACATGCGCCAACGGTGGCATTTGTCGCGAAACTCTGACAGGCACCACACAGTGCGAATGTCCGGATGGGTAAGTGCGCATGCGTGAAATGTAAAAATAAAATATATTTAATTGACATATGTATGTATGTACATCATTCGACAGCTTTACTGGCAAACGCTGCGAGGTGAATGTCTGCGACGGGTTCTGCAAGAATGAGGGCATCTGTAGCATTGGCACCAAGGGCGGCCCACAATGTCAGTGTCCTGCTGGCTATTATGGTGAGCAATGCGAATCCGACTCCTGTCAGACATACTGCCTAAATGGGGGCATATGCACAGAACGCGCTCAACACTTGATATGCAGTTGCAGCGAGCGCTTCGAAGGTGAGCGCTGCGAAACTGATTTGTGCAAAACGGCGACACCGCCGCACTGTAAGTACTGTCAACTCTCGATTAGAATGTTGGGTTGTATAGCTTGCTCTCTTTCAGTTTGTGATGAATCCGAGCTGCCCTCACGCAATCCATGCACCGGCATCATTTGCCAGAACAGCGGAACGTGTCATGTCATCAAAGGCATGGCCATGTGCAACTGCACTGATCAATGGAATGGCGAATTCTGTGAGGTAAAACATATACACCGCCACTCGCGTACACAAGATGTGCTCACTTTAATTTTTCAAATCATTACAGCGGCCAGTTGACGAGGACAATCCGTGCATTGGCTATTGCAAGAATAGCGGTGTCTGCCATTTGGATGCGTATACGGTGCCACATTGCAGTTGCATTGGCGAATGGGAGGGTGACGCATGCAACATGCCACCGAAATGTGTCAGCAGTTGTGGTGTTTGTCGCACTGGCAGTTCGATCAATGAATGTGTGTAAGTTGGGTGGGAAAATGGTTGTTGTGCTGGCTGGGGCCATGGGCTATGCATGTGTACTACTAATATTCATTTGCTTTAACGCTTGCAGTTGTTCTAGTGGCAAGATAACACCTTGCTTAGCTGACAGCGCGGATAATGTGAACATTGAGCGACAACAAGGGCAAGAGCATACTGCGAATGTACTCTCCATATTGGCGGTGATGCTGGCGATTGCCATACTGTTATTGACACTCTTCGGAGGAGCGATATATTTCCTAAAGTAAGTAGAAATGATGTAAATTATGTATGTACATTAGACCGTTCGTTATTTTAACTAATTTTTTAAATATACAGTTTGCCGGGCTCAAAAAGATGTCTTTTGGTCTAAAAATAAGCAGTGCAAAATTTTATTCGAATATGATAACTCTAAGTACTTGCGCGTTGCATTTGAAAATTTAGAAAACCATATGCACTCTGGGAAAAAAATTTCTAACAAAATAGTTGAAAGTCGTGAATTTTATAGTCATTTGCTATGTAAAATAACTCACACAATCTGAATATGAGGACAAAGCTTTTTTTACCGTCAGTATAGTATATTTTATTTAAAAGAAAACATTCGATATTTGCTATTTTGTTTGTCCGTAAACTATAGGCTTAAGTTGTTCTTTAAAATGTCCACAGATACATATGTATATTTCTTCCTGGAAAATTTTATTCTTTATCCTGTAGAAACTTTATCTGTTATTTTTCTCTCTAAATTTATCCCTTTTTTATAAACTTTTTTGCAGTTTTTTCATATTAAACAATTCGTAACAATTGTTCCAAACTATTACAAACTATTGCTTAATAAACAAACGGTTATTAGACATTATTCTGAGCGTAGTATTACTTAAAAAAATATAATATAAATACATAATACATTCAATAAGTACCATTGTTTCAGTTTTACAAGTATAAATGTATCCCGCAGAAACTTCCAAACCTTATCTAAAAATCAAATGTTATTTTGCTATCTGAATTTATCTTATTTTATCAACTTTTTTGCTAGCCAAAGCATGATAATTTGTAACAATTGTTAAAAAATATTTAAAACTATTGCTTAATGAAACAAACCTATTGTCAGCTGTTTTTCTAATTGCGATGTGCATAACATGCCACTGGAAATGATATTTTAATTTATTTTACAATCAAATGTGCTGTACAGTATCGATACGTTGCTTGAATCCAATGTCATTAACTAAATTTGCTATAACTTTTCTATTTTCAAATCGATTTGCAAAAAATTTGGATCTATATACTTTGAAATTAAATAAGCTTTAACATAGCATAAAAATAAGAACAAAAAGTTTGCAGCTTTTAGGTGTAATTCACAGTAGAACAACGGTGCGACTTAAAATTATGTCCGATTTCACTAATAAATTGGCAGATAACTCTTAAACTGATAATTTGATTGCAAAACATTGTATAGCAGGTTCGTAGAGATTTCAAAGACCTTTAATCTGGTGGAGATCTTTTTGTGGTGTGATAATCACAACCGGATATTTTTGGAAAAAATTGAAAATGCTCTTTTCTCAATTTGAAAAAAACGATAATTTCGCAAATTCTTAAAACCTATTCTATTTTTTTAATTTTTGACCTCATATTCAGATTGTGTGAGTTATTTTACATAGCAAATGACTATAAAATTCACGACTTTCAACTATTTTGTTACAAATTTTTTTCTCAGAATGCATATGGTTTTCTAAATTTTCAAATGCAACGCGCAAGTACTTAGAGTTATCATATTCGAATAAAATTTTGCACAGCTTATTTTTAGACCAAAACACATCTTTTTCCGCCCGGCAAACCAAATTTTAATTTTAACGAACGGTCTAATGTACATACATATGTATGTATGTATGTGCTTTTGATGGGCTGACTACTGGTGTTCGCTGCCTGATTTGGCATTGAAAATCTGAAATAGAGAAACTTTGAGAAGTTCTTGCTTTGTTGCAACGCAACTGTAACTTTTGAAATCTTCGGAATGATAACTTCTGCGAAAGAGAGAACGTCATTTTCTCTCTCAAAATCATTCTATTTTACTCGTTCTTCGATTAAGGGATAACGACTCATCATAGAGATAAAAGCGTTTTACAAATCCCTGCACATAATAAAGCGACAAGCAATGAATCAAAATAAGTTTCACGGTGTAGTCTGGCCCAGACACATTAATTTTGAATGAATGTAGAGGAGCAAGGCAGTACGCCGACCATTTTGATGTACTACATTAAAAACTTTTCACATTGTACTTATTTATAGCCATAAAGCGATTGATATACACTTTTTTTAAAACCAGTTTTTATGCTTTATCTCTGACAGGAAACATCGCATATCGCAGCCATTTTCACATGCGCGTCTGACCGACAACGTTGAAATTATGCTCACAAATCCGATGTACCGCGGCGATGCGGATGAAACACCAGCCTTCGTGCATGAGGACGATAAGGTAGTGGAACCAAAAACACAAAGTTTAAAATATTTCATAGTTTTTTTTTTAACGACCTCTTTTCCACCACTTTCTCCAGGGCAATTTCGCGAATCCCGTGTACGAGTCCATGTATGCAGATGCCATTGTTGAACCTGTAGCAGTGGCCGAAAATGTTTTAAGTACGGCACCCGATGAACGCAAAGGCTTGCTGCAACACTCACACGATGACACAACTACGCCGGATATTCTTTGATGATTGACTACAAACGAAGTGTGCTAATGTGGGAGCTTTTTATTTTCAAAGAAGCAGACAGCTTTTTTGAATCCAAATAGTAACTAAAGCAAATACCTAGCACATATCCGCATACACTGATATTTATACCGACTAGCACACTCAAATACATACAAACAAACACACATACTTGTAAAGGACTGATAGCGTAAACAACTTTTATGTATTTATTAATTTTCCAAGTGAAAAACGCCATTGTCACGATAGAAAAAGTCAATGATAAAATGATAAATTATAGGATAAAAAATAGGATTATTTTCTAAACCTTGCGTGCGGATATTAAAGAACATAATGTAAATACTTATAGAGTAATAAAAAAATAATGATGCTGGTGTTTTTCGAGCTTATAAAATAGCATATCAACGCCAGGCAGCTAGATTTGCATACATACTACATATGTACATACATAAGTAAAAAGTGTGTAGCTAGAAATTAAGGCGAAAACGTTGTATATTATTTAGTACTCGATTAGAGTGTTTTTTGTTTTTTTTTTCTCTATTAAACAAATGACAGCTATTTAAGCAGCTGACGAAGCTGCTGACGAATTCGTATGAATAACTGTGAAATGTTCGGAGTCTTTGCTGAATCCATCCTACTTCGGTTTTCTTCAAAAAATCAAACACAAACATATACATACTACATATGTACACATATCGTTTTTAAAACGGAGAAAGGCCCTAAGTAATAATTTTTAGATTCACTAAAATACACCTTCCTCAAAAATTTTAGAGCTGTAACTTAAAACCCAAAGATTTTATGAAAATTTTTTATAAAACCCTACGCACAGAAGCGAATGCGTTGCGGGTTTAATTTTTTGCTTTTGGGGCCTTTCTACTTTCGTAGCTAAGTATTCCGTTTCAGTGACAACATTTTCGCAGATTTCACGAAAATTAAAAAAAAAAAAACGGACTATAATGGATTCAGCAATATCCCCTTTCATATGTATTTTTTTATTGTTATTGGTGTATTTAATTTAAAGTTATCTCTACAAATAAGTACATATATACATATATAAGCACTAACCGCACAGTTTTCAAATGCGCACACGTCTAAACAAGAAAATGCATGAATTAAATATAATTCAAATGCCGTTTTTGTGTATGTATAGGCACAGAAAGGTGTTTTGTGAATGTAGATATTAAGAAATAATAATAATTACTTCATATAGCTTTTATTTAAACCCGCAATTCTCTTTAACAATACTCATAAGTGCGAAATTTAATTGTACAATATGGTATTAATTTTGTGCGCGATTTTATATAGTGTAATTTGTTATTCAACCTAGTCCATTTGAATTATAGAATTCTTTGACATCAAGGCAGCTGACAGTGAAACTTGAACTGTGGCATTTATATACATGAAATTGTAGTTTGAAATTTACCACCAACAGTTGCATAGATTTTTGTTACCTATGCATTTTTCTCCCGCCTGTAAATATTAGCACCCAACTTTCAAAAAAATTTTTTCTTTACGAAAATTACTGTTAACTTAACTTATTCGCAAATTAAAAATCGATAAGGATATACATATTTATAGACGTACGCACGGGCGTATTTTTAAGTAACGAACAAATGCTTGCATTTAACAGAAATTGTGAGATTCTTCTATAGCTTTAAGTTCGAATATATTTATAAAAATGCATATAAAATCTGATAGTTGGTATGTATGTAAGCGAAAAATACCTACGAAGTTCGTGTTTACATAGATTTGTATGTATGTAGCTAAGTAGATACATCATTACATATGTACACACATGTAGGTAAGCAATTGTAATATAATAAACATACAAACATTCAACTCAAGCGAAATTTAATTAAATTGAGCATGTGAAATATTAAATAGCATTATACATAAGTATGTAAATAACAAAATATTTTTTTCTTTTTTTTTCTAATTAACACGAAATAAAAACTTGTCGAATTTTCAAAACCTGAATTCTGCACTGTTATTGCCTTTTAAAATTAAATCTTCAAAGAATGCCACTAAAATTTAAATGTTGACTAGTGGCATGCACGCTGCAGAGCCACCCGCTGTGTTTTATACCACCACATTATGTTGAATAAGTAGGCGTACTTAGTTGTTTAGGTCGGTATTCGGTGGACCGTCTTGTAATAAGCTGTTAAAATCAAATTTGAAGGGATTGAGGAGTGGATTTTGGCATCTGTCCGGAGCATCTCTGGCTGCATCAAAAGCTTCTTGATTAAAAAAAAATTTAAACATTTTATAAATACACTGCCGGAACAAAGTATTGGAACAGCAAATTTTTCACAATATATGCAGCACTTTTTATTCTAAAATTTCCCGTCAATTTTGTATAAAGATATGGTTCATTATTTTTAATTAGTTATTTTATTAATTAATCGCAACGGTTTTTTACCCTCCATTCCCGCCCAAACGACACGAGGGGCGCAGACCGCATGACGTACAGTACTTTTTTTTTTGGTTTTTTGTACAACAAAAAACATAAAAATATAATTCCCAAATTTTGTGCAAAACGCGCGAAAATTCAGCAAATTTCCAACTTTTTAATCAGATATTTAATTTTTTTATTTTTTTAGTATGCAATTTTGCAGTGCATTAAATTCTAAAAAATGCAAGCTTGGAGTTCACCAAATACATATGTATCTATGTATGTATGAATATTTCCATATATATATGTATGTATGTATGCGCATACCAACGCGAAGTCAAATGAGCGTCCTTCCAATCTTTTGATCTATCATAATTCATAATAGGCAATTTACGCATTCTTCCTCCCACACAAAACCACATGCACAGGTGTAAATTTGTATTTGCATTCGTATTTATGCACTTCCAATGACACATACCGACGCAAGCTTTTCCCGGCAGAGCGAAGGAGCCGGAACTACCTCAGTCATAATTTGAGAGCTATTGCGTCGTTACGAAAAATTTTTACTCGGTGCGCGATCGGTTTAAATCAGTGAAAAAGTGGTAAAAGTTAGTGAAATTTATTTAAATTAATGTTATTTCAATAGCTTGTATGCTAATCCATGTGTGTAGAGTAAAATTGAAAGTGTAAAGTATGAAAATGAGTGAAAGAAGAGTGTTCGAAAATATTTGGCAAATCTCTGCCAAGTGCATGGCATGAAAAAATGGCCGCAATCACTATGTGCTTTGTTGTTGTGAGGCTTGCGCCGCAGTGGCAGCGCGCGCCATTTAGCGGCAAATGCTGCAAAAGCTCCTATATTTCGCTTGTTTGCAAAAAGCATTAGTGATGTGTTGTGCTTAATTCGCCTTTTACGCTGGCATCATGATGCGCATAAGCAGGTGTCTGTATGTATGTGCCTACTGCAGTTTTAAAACGAAAAAGTGTATTACGCATTCAACTGTTTTGTGTTTAAAGGTGAGTGTCACTCAAACATACTTATGAACATACATTTAATTACATACAGGTACATACATACTTTTTTAATTTAATTTATTGATGAACGAATTTTTGACTAACGTTTGACAAATGTGCATACATATTTATGTATGTACATACATATCGTCGCTTAAGGTACAAAACTGCGTATCAACAAAATACAAAACCGCGTATATGAGGTTGCATAAATTATTTTGTAGAGAGTAAAAACACTCATATTTCAAATAGGTTCTTTTTTATAAAGCAATCGCATTTCTGGCTAGTATATTTCAGACCGAATGGATAAGACTTTGTTCAACCAGGCACCTAACTGGCAATTAAGAACCTTTTCACCAATTTAAGCTTTAATCGTTACCCAATTTATCATACAAAAATTCAAATTATTAATTGCTAATTAATAACTAATTGGCAACTAGTTTGTGTCAGGTATGTTTATTGAACAAAGAGCAATAACCGATATTCCATCAAGGATGGAAAATTTAATTATGAAATTGTACCTAATTTACGGAAAACTTTGCCTAAAAGTAGATTGATGTACCTAAAAAGTAAATGTGTATTTCCAGTGAACGGATTTTATGGAAATTGCCTTTTATTCTGCTAACGAGATAGAGCATATTCGATTAAGAATGTCCACGATTTAGCTTTCCCTGATTCCATATATACGCATTTGATGTTGCGTTTTTTTGCCTTTTTTAAGATATTTGCGTTTTTTGCCTTTTCTACCTTTAAAAAAATGATTATAGCATTTACAATTTTTTTTTAAGATTAAAAAATATACACATTGCCCATGCGGCTTATAGAAGCGCAGAGACCTCTTGCCAAATTGGTGTTGGAAAAATTCAAAGCCGTTTTCTCAGCTAACGAAGGCTTGGAGACAATAAGGTGGATAAAATTGTGAAGAGCGATATTCCTGATAATATGAACGTTTCAAACGTTCCATGTTTAAATTGGGCACCGCTTGTATCAACTTACGTCGAGCGAAAATCGAATGAAAATGCTGCCAGAAAACTTCAAAATGCATCTTGTGGTTCAGTGTTACTAGAACTATACAGATTAAAGTTTTATGAGTTAGAAACTCGAAAGGATAAAATAGTCAAAGATTCCAAGTACAAATTTTTCATATAATGAAACTAGTTCATAGTTTTTCTCTTTTTACTTGTAATATAAACATTTCTAAAATAAATGTACTTTTTGATTGTTCTTCGTATTTTCTGTCTTTTTTAGTGCCTTTTCCTGCCTTTTTCACTATTTTATTTTGCCTTTTCCAGCCTATTTCGTTATTTTATTTTGCCTTTTTTATAGGTTTTTAGGTCCTAAAAATCCGTTCCCTGTGTATTTCTATATAAAGAAAATAGGAGGATAACAATTCCCATAGATACCATGTCAACTTCTGCACTCACATTAAACAAATTTTGGCTATAAAAAAGCTGACGTGTGGGTGAACACCAAACTCAATGCCGCAATTTAAAGTTTAACTGCCTCAGCTAATTGGCCTGTTTGAACATAGTCTAAAGACTGAGTAAAGAGCCTGTGTGAGAAATTCAAATTTTTGGCAGCAAATGTAAGTTACACAGTTTTGTACTTTAAACGATGATATGTATATTTCGGTAATGGGCGCTGCCTTGCCCGCGCGCGAATCTCTTTTAAGCTTTCTAAACATTTTGTATAGGCGCGTGCTGAGTAAAAGGCAGTGTGGCCAGTTTGCGGGATTTCGCCCTTTTTTCGGGGTTTTATGACAAAAAGGGGGAATGGAATTTTCTGACGAAAAACAGGACTTTTGTCATTCCATACCAAGCAATAAAATTTAGTTATTGATAAATAAGAAAAAGCTGCCATACTCTGTGGTAAAATTAAGCAGTTCATATGAATTCTATCAGCGGAACTTCATTCACTTGAAATGAATTTTAATAGCTATTTTATGAGTTATCCAAAAATGAATTTGGATATCTTGATTTTGTAGATTCTGAACTTGTTTTAAACGATTAATGCAAAAATATTTTGAGTGATTCTATTACATGATGTTACACTGATCATGAACTGTTTAATTGACCTATTACAGGTCCTAGGGCTGGTCAATTAGTTCACGAAACTGCGCTTAAAATTTTTCTAACACCTTGAAATTCTCAACTTATTCTTAAAAAACCATTTTCGCATGACTTCCGGCACTAAATAACTTTTAGCTCGGTTATATTTGAACCCATTTTAAGTTTGTATATGACTTTCAAAAGAAGGACACTTATACTATTTTAAGAAATAAGTTTTGTGAGTACGAATCTCAAATTTCTTTTTCTGTTGTTAAACGAAGTTCTGTAGTCTGAGTACTTTCGTTCTTCTCGGCTGCCATTGGAAAGTATTTAATTATCTCTGCCACCTCCTCCGGACGGCAACAGAAGGTATAACCTAGTGTTGGCAAGCGTCGAAGATTACCAAAAGTGCTAGTTTTCAACCACTCAACTTTGTCGCACATATCAACGCTGCAGAATTCGGTATGTCCTGGATTCATTACCTGCAAAGTTAGAACAAAAAAAGTAGAAGTTTTAATGTTTTTTTTTTTTAAATTTCGTTAGATGTTAACTATAGCGAGTTTTAGTGGGACAACGTCTTTATCCAGCGTAAATACGGGCACCCTGCAAGAAGATGTTCGTTCACCCTTTCTGTATATCGTCGTGGAGGATGTGGAAAGGGAAGGATGTAGGGCTATTGCCTAAATTAGGTCGCGAATTCGTCTGCCAGCTGCGTTCTTGCTATTAATCCTGGAATGACGGAGCTTGCACTATTTACACCCAGTTTCCCTCGATAACGGGCGTTTCGCTTGTGCTCTATGACAGGGTCAAGTTATTGGACGTGATCCTTGACGGAATATTGTCTTAAAAGCCAAATATTGATGAGCGAATAAAAAAAGGCACCAGTGGCTCTTACTGCTGTAAAAATGCAATGGAAAGAGAAGGGGCCTCTCTCCAAAAGCGATATATTACCTATTTATATGAAACCATCATCAAGCCAAGTATGTTATAAGGGGTCATTGTTTCACAACAAAAGTATATTCTACGTAGGAAGCTAGAGCTGGAGGGACCAACAGTTTTACACCGCCTTCGAACGGCAAATGGATGGAGAAGCTTTATAAGGCAGAAGGCCAACGCTGGTTACAAAAAAACCCTTTTTCTAACAGCGGATCAAACCTTGGACCTATGGAGTTACAGTATGCACCTCTAACCAATCGGCTACAGCAGGTTCCGAGTAGAGGTACAATAAATATTTTCGCGTAGGGATCGAAGCTGGATGGCAGAGTTGGAGAAGGTGTATTCTCTCTCATGTTCTATTGTCGGCTTTCGCAGCATCTTTCAGGCTGGGGTGGCCGCTATAAAAGAGGCGCATGGTACAATTAAAAAAAATTAATAATCGCATCGGAGCATTAAAAAATCAATTTGATTTGGATCGAAGGACAAAGTTACAAATCTGGATATTACGGGACTGATGACTGGCTAGGAGTTACTTTGGCAGCTTGTAGACTATTCCTGCACAGACGGCTCAGAGAGCGCAGGGAAATCCTCAACCTTCAAAGCTGGAAGGTCTTCCTGGCTTCAGCTCTTGAGGCCAAAAAAGAATCATCTCAGCACTTCCCTCTCAGTTGCCCAGCTGTCACTAGACTAATGTTTAAACACCGCAGCTCAGCTATTTAATCAACACTTCTGAGGAACTCTCTGTAGCGAAAAACAGCTGCCTGCGAAATTCTACATTGTTGTACCACAATGGAAAATTTAATCAATGGATATTCGGGGCTCCCACCTTAACCTAACCTAAACCTACAGTACGTTGTACTTACATATGGTGAATTATGTGCAATAACAACGAACTCCTCTTCCTCATCGGCGTGTGTTAAGGGCTTCAAGTAGGCCCAAATATACGCTGGTGCATTGACAGTCAAATTTTCTGTGCTAACGGACACAATATCGGGTTTGAATGAACCGTAATTGCGATGCACCGATGGGAGGCTAGCATTGCCATAGGTGCCCATATAAACGAGATACTTATCGGATCGTGTACGCTCTCGCAGAGCATCAAGGAAGTAACGCCAGTTTTGTTGCCGTAGTTGACGCCACCACATAATGTTAAATAAGTAGGCGTAGTCATTTAGGTCGATATTCGATGGACCGTCTTGTAATAAGCTGGCAAAATCAAATTTGAAGGCATTGATGAGTGGTATTTGGCATCTATCCGGAGCCTCTCTGGCCGCATCAAAAGCTTCTTGACTAGAAAAAATAATTTAAAAGTTGTATACATACATACATGCATATATTTTGTCACGTAAATTATTTGTATAAAGTTACAACTAAAGTTATGGATATTAGATACAGAAGATCTACATATTTTTTGGCTTCTTAGGAATAAAGTCATCGGTCTATTATGGATAGCAACGCGATACTCAGTTGGGTTGCTGATGGCCAACCGAAATATGCAAATGCTTGATCATATGCACAAGATCCTGAACAGCCTTGTTGTATGTACTTCGAATGAATAACTGATAAACGATTGAAAATCGATCATATCCCAAGAAATAATTTCCCCTTATAATATATTACTGCATTTTACTATTTTCGATAGTTAGATCTTAACCTAAACTTTATCACGCTACACACTCTTAGATTTGATGTGTACGTTGAAGAGGTTTCTCCACAGAAAAAAAGATTTTAAAACCTTAATTTTCATACTCACCTACACACATGCATAGATACATACCTCATGAATTTATAATAGTTTTCCAAGCTGGCAATCTTTTCATCCAGAGTTACGGTTAGTTCATTTGTGGCTTTGCGCTGTTGAATATAATATAATAAAAAAAATATTGGATCAGCTCATCGCGCTTTTATGTATTTATGTCAACGATATATTACGGTACACGAAATATTCACCTCATCAACGACTTCGACGTCACTAGTTAGATGTGCTACAAACGTGACAAACTTTAGTGAAGACTTATTGAGGTCATAGCAAACGCCGGCTTGGATTTGATTTCCTATTCCAACAGCCTGGAGGGGTACACCAATCGCATAGCTCTCATAGTTTCCACAGTTTATCAATTTTGTTTTACTTTCGTAAATTTCAGGGCTCGATAGGGGTATGCAGAAAATAATAATATTCTTGGAACTGCCGTCAAATTTACCCTTGATTCCAATTTGGTTAAGCGAATCACAAGTGATCTCTGCCGAGTTTGCTTCTAAAGCTTTCGATTCAAATTCCACATCATCACTGTCATTATTGGAGAAAATAAAAATAAGCGCTAAAAATCACGATTTAGGTGCTCAAAATAAGCTAATAAAATCATCGAAATAGGCTCAATAAAAAAAAGATGCCAAATAAAATTCCTTAAATTTGATTAAGAGAAAAACAACGTTATTTACTGTTGTAGAACAATTGCAATTCATATCGCATTTACTTTTTTTATTATTTTTTTATAAGTTCTATATTTTAATCGCTCCAACGGAGGTTCGAACCTGGCACCACAGATTTGTAGCACGCAAACATATGGATGTTTCCATGATGTCTGACGTGACATTCGTACAATTTTAGAGTTAAATAAGTCATACGAAAATCGAATTCACTTATAAAAAAAAATTGCCGTTGTGTAGCCTTTATACCGTCCTTTGGTTTACAAAAAAATTAGGTGCGCTTGGAACACTGGTGCCGAGAAAATCGATGAAAAGGACGTGAGTAAAATTACAGACCATTATAAAAAATTCATTTTTAAGCAAAAGCGATTCGTTGTTGGTTTAATATTGAATTAAAATGTGATTTCTCCTCCCACACAATATTTTTACCTGTAAAACATATATATTTTAAAATTTTCGGTTCTCCTATCCACCGTTTAGCGTTTAAAAAACCTTTTTTCGCCATCTGATTACGAAATTTTGAGTTATAAAGCAGTTTGAAGTCATTTACTTGCATTTTCGGATTACATTTTTATGGAAACACCCATATACGTACATATACGGGAATTTCCATGTCAACTGAATTATGACTTCGATCACAAATTTTTATTCACTATATTCAGTCCATTTAAACCTTTTTTTCTTTTATGTCGGTATCTTTATTGTTACCAAAAGGAGCAATCTTTAACATTAACTGTTCAATAATAATTTCGTGGAATAGCTGCCCACAGACAGAACAAACCCGTCAATATGTTCTTTCGGGTAATAATGAAGATTCAACGCCCAGTTCTGTTTTAAGCGTTTTATTTATAATAATAATAATAGGTTGGCGCTTAGTGTTTGGCCTACATTCTTCTCCGATTTGTGGCGTGCGTCTTGATGTTGTCACACAGGGGAGAGCAGGGATCTACAGTTTACGCCGACTCCGAACGGCGATTGTAATTTTTATGGGAAGCTGTTTTTCATGTCACAAATACACTCGGAAGTTTGCCATTGCTTGCCGAGGGGCGACCGCTGTTAGAAAAAAACTTTTTTTGGTTTTCATTTTTTGGTGTTGCGTTGAACCGGAATTGAAACCAGCCCCAGCGGAGTGGTAGCGCGCACTGCTAACCGCAAAATTAAAAAAAAAACAAGTAAGAAAGTCTAAGTCGGGCGGAGCCGAACATTAAATACCCGGCGCAAGTATTAAATATATGTTTTTTCAACTTTCCGAAACCCACGGCTAGATGGTAAGCCGGGGTGTATCAATTTTGAGTAAATTGGCGTCCTTCAATTTCGAAATATTGAAGTTTCAAGCATTACTGAAATTTACCGTTATATGAAAAGCGGCCGTAATTTTAGTCCGATTTCAATAATAATAACCATAATAACAATAATAACCACACCGAGTTTGGTAAAAATTGGTAGAACGGTTACCGATTTACATATTTGTGATCATAAGTGGGCGGTGCCACGCCCAGTTTACAAAATTGTACCATAAAAGTATTTCTTGGTAAAGAATTTTTGCAAGCATCAATTTTGAATAAATTAGCTTCAATATTTACTGATTTATCGAAGATTTTGTATTTCTCTAAATTACCGTTATATGGGATGTGGGCGTGGTTATTGTCCGAATTAAAAGATTTTCGGCCATTTGGTATGGTGTACCAAGGCCAACAACTGTGCCAAGTTTGGAAGAAATTGGTGCAGCGGTTACGAAGATATACACATGTAACCATAAGTGGGCGTGGCTACGCCCATTTTCCAAAAATTTATAATATTCTTATTTTTCGTCTAAAAGTTGTTGTAAATATCAATTTTGAGTGAATAATCTTCAGTAGTTACAAAAATATCGCAGTTTTCGTATTTCCGAAAATTGCCGTTATATGGGATGTGGGCGTGGTTATTGTCCGATTTTAAAAATTTTCGGCCATTTGGTATGCTGTGCGAAGGCCAACAAATGTGCCAAGTTTGGAAGAAATTGGTGCAGCGGTTCCTAAGATATACACATGTAACCATAAGTGGGCGTGGCTACGCCCATTTTCCAAAAATGTATAATATTCTTATTTTTCGTCTAAAAATTATTGTAAATATCAATTTTGAGTGAATTATCTTTAATAGTTACTAAAATATCGCAGTTTTCGTATTTCTGGAAACTACCGTTATATGGGAAGTGGGCGTGGTTACAGTCCGATTTCGCCCATTTTCAATACCAACCTACCTTGGATTAAGGGAAACCTGCATACCAAATTTCGTTGAGATATCTCAATTTTTGCTCGAGTTATCGTGTACACGGACGGACGGACAGACGGACAGACGGACGAACAGACAGACATGGCTTAATCGATTTCTTTTTTCATCCTGATCATTTATGTATACATTTGTCTATATCTATCTCGATTCGTTTTGGCTGTTACAAACAACCGTTATGTGAACAAAATTAATATACCCTTGTGCACAAGTGCGCTCGGGTATAAAAATAGTTTAGATGCTCTTATTCTAGTGTCTACATGTTAATTTTTTTTAATCCACAATGTTTTGTTTTAAAAGTTAAAATTTTTTTGTTATTGCTTTATAAAAATGTTGTTTGTGCTTCAGCCAAACCCATATAAATTAAATTTTCAAACTGAATACAAACTTTAGAAAAATGCAACAAGTTTTCATCAAAATTTCGAACTTTTGAATCTGAATCTTAAGAACCTTTTAGGGTATGTAATTTTATAGCCCAAAAAATTTAGATTTGGTGTCTTTGAATAAAGCGCTTTTTTTAGAAATCCGTACTATTTCTACAAAATTACCCATATTACACACGTTCGTAGCAATTTGGATTGTAGATTTGTCGAAAATCGGACTAAGAAGGATTCAGTGATAGCACCGCATAAAAGATTATAAAATATAAAAATCTTATTACTTAATACAGACTAATTTCATTTACCTTGGGATATTTAGACGTGCCTCATATCTCGAATAGTAGGAAGGTATGCTAAAATAAAAATAAAAAAGTTAATAATAATAAGATTAGATTGGCGCTTAGTGTTAAGGTACAACTAAAGAACAAGCTTTTCAGGCGTTTGGCGCTTTTCAGGCTTTCTGTCAGTGTTGCCAAAATTTGGTTTCCAAAAAGCATCAAACTCTTGGAAAAAAGCGTTTTACCACACTAGTTAAAATCATAAAATTTTTTTGAATCAAATAATTTTTTTCATAACAGTTTGTATTTAACAAAAGTAAAAAATAAACAATACTAACAAGTGCATATGTATATGCAAATAAATCAATACACAAAACTTTTTCACTCACAGCGATTGAATAGCCTCTATACATGCTATAAATTGAAAGCATTTCTAAACTCCTTTATGTTCATTCAGGTAATTTTCATCATATCCAACCACGATTTAATGTATCAAAAGCGGCACTTTTGATAAAGCGTCCACACTGGGGACTTTTAGGTTAAATTACATACGAAAAAAAAATTGTTGAAGGTGGCAAAAACTTGTAGTAATTACTATTTTACTTAGCATGGTTGGAAAAAATTTGTTTGTTAAAGTATTAAAACTAAGCACATTAAAGTACTAAAATTATATAATTATATTTAAATGAAAAATATAAATTAAATACGTAGGATATTAAATTTTTTTTACAACTTATGCTTTAATTATTGTAGCCGAAAAATTCAATTAGAACACTATTGTGAACTTTAAATTTACCGCGACTTAAAAAAAATTACAATTCGTTTTATTTATCGCTTCGTCGCTTATTTTTAGGCGGATTTTTTGAAATCTCGGCTTTTCGAATATCGAGTAAACCGGATTTTTAAAATCAAATAAATCGGAGTTTCACATTGTTTATTTAAATATACGCCAGAATCTAAGAATTCTAATTACAATAAAAAAAAAGAAATTCATTCTGGAAAATTTTCCAGAAAATTACTACTATTTCGAACTTTTTTTACCTTATTGATTTCTATATTAAAGCTACATAAGTATGTATGTTTGTAGTATATCTATTTTTAGTAATGATTTCTGACTAACAGTAAGTGTTTTTATAGAGAAAATATGTAAAATAAAACCGGTTTATCCTTTGTTTTCTCAAATGGAAATTGTGGAACCGGTTTTTTGAAAATTGACATCTTTCAAATAACTCGAAAACCGAAACTGCCTACTATGTATCCTATGTTTATTTAATGCATCTGATATGTATATTTATGTATGTATGTACATATTTATATCCCTTTATTCATCTACATATATACATACATATGTACATGTCCATCTATTTACCTGGGTAGTTGGACCTTATACATTATTCCGTTATTGCAATACGCCATAACTGATTCTCCCGATTTCAGTTCTATTGAGGTTTTAAGTGGTTTGAACACAATTCTTTTGGAACCGAATTTCTTTGAAAGCACAGGCAATGGGCTTTCAACGTTCAGTTGACATGACGATGCCAATGTAAGCCCTGTGAATATCACTAAATATAAAAAATCGAGTTTAAACATTCTTACTCGTAACTACTCTCCAGAAGTTATAATCCAAGACTGAACTGAGGTTTGGCTGACGATGCGCCTTTTATGTAAAGTAAATCTACATATGCAAAAAGTGCAAGTGAATGTACATATGTATGTATGTAAGTGCTTATTTTCATCTACTTTCATGCACATATGTATGCCTACACTTAGGATGTTTAAACGACAGCCGATATTCATATCAGTTAAAGTAAATAAATATTAACTATGAACATAGGCCCTGCGGAATGGTGGCGCGCACTGCTAACCATTATATCACAGCGCACAGTGTAGCCGAAATCCGAAAGTGTGGTCGAAAAAAAGTTTCCAGATAGGGCTTTTCCATCATTGAATTGGCTAAAGGGATCCGTATGCGAAAACTTTTCACAGTAAATGCCTGTCTCGTCTTTATTTTTATAGATTCATAAGGATGAGTTAAAGTATTTTGAGTAAAGGAAATCCAAAAAAAAAACTAAATGGAATGTACGTAAAAAATTTTGTGAAATAGAAATATATACATATAAGAGTTTTTTTTTTAACAAAATTTGAGTTGTTAAACAGTAATAAGGATGCTGCCTTTAAAACGTTACTTAGAAAAGTATTAGCTACTGGAGAAAACAAAATTCAGCTGCTAAAGTCTGCCACTGGAATTGTAATGTATTTTTTTACACGCTTTTATTAGCTTCACCTGTATTTAAAAATTTCGAGCTTTTTAATGAGATTTCCTAGAGAGGCTTTAGGAATGCCAATTTGTATTTGTGTAGCCAATTCAATTTTCGTATAATAAAGTGCAAGTTCAAAGTAGCTGCGACTTACCGTTGGTGTTTGAATATTTTTTTTGTTGAAGCTGTTGTCATTTTCTCCATACAAAAAAAAAATCGTCAAAACATATGTACATACTTCGCACGGAAGAAAATGACTGACATCGTTAACAAAAAAAAATCCCAAAAACAACAGCAAGTCCCAGCTACTTCAGACTTGCATTTTATTGTACTTAAAGTGAATACGCTATTAAACTGCGTACTCAAAATCTTTCTAAGAAATCTAGTTAAAAAGATCGAAATATTTATGGGAGCTTGTTGAATTTTTTGTTTTAAATATTGGCCACCCCCCCCCCCCCCCCCCCCCCCCCCCTTTCCTTTTTTTAAATTTTGAATATTTTTTTTAAAGGTTTGAATTTTAGCCGCACTTTTTGATTTCGACCCCACTGTGCAGCGGCAGCGGTAGTTGATTTTCCGATACGGTATAAACAATTTCTATTATAAACAATTTCAACGATTTTGAGTAAGTGTTTATGTATGTATGTTGACCATTTACGTGAAAAATCATACGATGTCTTTCAATTGTGTTCCTGAAACTTTACCCGTACACTTACAACTTTAAACAATCCCTCTTTGACCAAAGTAAATGAATGTAATGTATTGTGGAACGGTTTTCCGTTATCCCGTGTCAAATTTGGTTTGGAGACAAACCGGTTTCGGCATTGTGCCATCTTCAGTGTCATTCTTCGTTCTCGGAACGTTCAGAAAAAAATGCTAACTTTTAAATACTGACCTCGGATTCGGATTCAGCGACCCACAATACATAAGATAGGCCACTCTGATCTGCCGCGTTTCAGATTTTTTTTTTATAACGGCGTAATCGGTACATCGGACCAGGAGAATGACTTTTAAGTGGTGTGCTCTGTCTCCATCCGCAAAAATTTCAAACGACGCTTTTAGCGGAATGTAGTGCGTAGAATGCTCGGGGTCGGACCTTCTGGCCTCTCGGTTCGTTCCACTTTCGTGAAAAAAAAACTAAACTTTGGATTTCCCGTACCAGTGTCTTTAATGGCTTAGCGTTGGTGTGTGTGCTTGCACCTATTCACCCCTATTGCGAGTGTCGACTGGCAGTAGATAAACGACTATTAAGCGATTATCGATTATCGATGGTATTGTGAGTGTCGCTTAGTCGCTCAATTAGCGACTGTGAATACTTTTTAATCGCTCATCCTTCTATTGCTGTTTTTTAGTCGTTGGAGTTTGCGTTTATAAAATTTACATAAGAAAGTGGTACTATAATGGATAATAAGTAAGTCAATTGAATTGGAAGTTGTAAAAAATTGTGAAATATACATATGTACGTACATATGTGTCTGAATTACAGATCAAAAATTGTAAGCAACAAAAGGCAACTTGCGCGGTTGGTCGAGCTGATGCAGGAGAGTGAGGACATATGCAAAGGAATTTCCGTAAAGAGCAGTGGAGGAAGCTCCGCTTCTTTTGTGAAAGATATACAATATTTCTTGTGCATATAATTCCGGCTACGCCATCCACAGTGTTTTTGCGCAGAACCAACATCAAAGTTTACAAAATACTGCATAATTTATTAATTAACTACTGCTCGAAAACTTGAAATCTTTATGTTAAATTAAAGTTTAATTCTTTCACTACACTTGTATGTTAAAGTTTTAAAACTCGGGTCACGCGTTTTGACACAAATACTCAACATCATTGTACAAATAACTAAACGGTACCGTATTTCTTAAACTTCCATAAAATTTATTAATGAAGAAAACAGCTTTTCCTGCAAATCCTGTAAAACCTAAAAACCTTGAAGCATCGGGAACGCAACTTCTATTCATAAAATTCACATATGTACATACACTTCATCTTCCAACTCCAAGGGATCCGACGAATCTCGCAATTCCCTCCTTGCTTTAGCCAACTCTACTAATCTATTAGCTTCCACATCATCTTCCTCATCACTAAACCATATTTCAACTGTGTCCATTTTTTAAATTTTATAATAAAAGCAATTATTTTAAAAATGTAAATGAAACATTAAAGAAACAAATGTAAACAAACAAACAGCTGTTTACAATTCCGTCAACCATTCACAATAGTACAAATTTTTATCGATCAAGTTACACAATAGCAAAATAAAAGATGATCGACTCGATCGACAAATTTCTATTCTACTGCCAGTCGACACTCGCAATAGGGGCCATTATGTGTTATTGTTTCTGCCGTAGGAGAGCTCAGTGGTTTCGTAGCTCGAGTTGAAGAGGAGGCTGCTGCTTCTGAAGTAGGGCGTTTTTGAGCCATTTTGTTAGATACGGCGTTTTCATACCGGCTGCTGAGATAGGTTGATCTTCCACTCAGCCGTCGATATGTAATTATATATGTATGTGTATACATATGTACGTTATCGAATTTTGCAAACAATAATAACTATCTCGAACTCCCTAATATATACACATTCATTGTGATTTCGATTAAGTGAAATTCTTTCGCCATCAGACTTTGGCTCCTCTATAAAAATTTAAATTGTGAATATACGAAAGCTGATAAGTAACAATGTAAATGAGTTAAATATTGACTATCTGTGTTCATATGTATGCACATTAGACCCGATCGGTCTCCGTAAGAAGCCAAAATATTGTGAAACCCTCTCTAGTTTGAATAAATATTATATCGATATGGCTTTAGTGCTATAGAAAATGCATTCCTTTCTATGTAGTCACAGCAGAATTGAAACATTGAAAAAGCCTTTTACAGCAAAGAATCTATTTTTTGTCCCATATTTTTACCTATTTTTACACTATTTATTGTTTTTATTCAAGTCTAGATCATCCACAATTTTATTTAAGGCTTATGGTGTCCAAATATTAAAAAAGTATAAAAAATAATCATTGAGATGTAGCCGCTGCAGCAGCTGCGGTAGACGTTTCGATAGCTAGCGTAGCCACAGGAAAGTAATCGATCACTTTCGCCACCTCCTCCGCACGGCAACAGAATGTGTATCCAAAAGTGGGTATGCGCCGAAGGCGTCCGAATCTGCTGTCCTTTAGCCATTGTATATCATCGCACAAATCGCTGGCACAAAACTCAGTGTGGTCAGGAGATTGACTCTGGAAGTAGAACAGAGAAAAGTTAGAATTTACATACATACTTTTGCGTAAAAAAAACGCATTCAATTACGTAGGGTGAATTGTGCGCTAAGACCACGAAATCCTCGTCGTTTCCGGGTGAAAGCGATTTCAAATATGCCCAGATGTACAATGGCGCCGTAACTGCCAACCCATCGGTTTGCACGGCCACTGCCTCCGGCTGGCCATTGGAGCTTTCTGTTGCTGGCAAAGTTGCGTTTCCGTAAGTGCCCACATACACTCTGTATTTTACCGAATTTGTGCGTTCCTTTAAGGCGTCGAGGAAGAAACGCCAGTTATTTTGACGTAACTTACGCCACCACATAGTGTTCAACATGTAGTTCCAGCTGTCGAACTTCTTATTCAGCTGTTCGTCTTGAATGATCAAGTCATAATCGAATTTGAAAGCATTGAAGAAGACGTTTTGCTGCCGATCTCTTGAGTTATTAAAAGAGTCTTGACTGTAGGCAAGAAAAAAATTAATAACAATATGGGAAAATACAGATCGTCAGCTTAATGGAAGATCGCCCTATAGCGGGTGTCGATTCGAAAACGCCCTATATCAGCAAAACGTTGAAAAACGCCCTATTTCGGGAATTTTCTATAGAACGCTTTATCTAAGAATTTCGTTCAGAAACGCCCTATCTTTAATGACGCTTCGAAAACGTCCTATCTCAATATAAATTCAATATATCGCCAGCTAAGATGGGGCGTTATTCAACCAAATTCTGAAATAGGACGTTTTTCAACGGTTTGCTTAGGTAGGGCCTTTTCGAATCGGCAGCCAAGATAGGGCGATCTTCCACACATCCGTCGGTATATTATTTTTTAAGCGAGAAATCTTATTTCCAGCGATTAAGAATGAGTATATTTTGCACAACTTAATGCTTAGAACAATCACCTCATGAAATCGAAATAGTTTTCCAGATTGTCTACCTTTTGTTCGAGGTCCACTTCCAGATCATTATCAAAGTTATCCTAAAGTGTAAAAATAAGTATAGCTTAGGAGTTAGTTTAAAACACACAGTCAGTTGCATTAAAATAGCACCATTGCATATGTAGTATAAGCTTAGTTCTAAAGTAACTTACCTCGTAAGAAATTAAAATGTCATTTTTTTGGTAAGCAATGTAATTTGCATATTTCAATGCAAAGTTGTCTATATCGTAGCACATTGCCAGTTTCTTAATTGTTCCTAAAAACGGAATTTTTTCGCCAATTACATAGCTCATAGATCCCTCGCAGTTGCCCAACTTCCTTTTGCTTTCATATAAGCTTTCACTAGATGACGATGAACAATATATACTTAGAACTTCGCTCCCGTGTCTGTTTTCATAGATTCCCCGCGCTCCGATATAATTATTTTCATCACAAAACAATAATGCCGTCTGGTATTGATTGTTTGGTAGTTGTTTGTAGCCATTGCTTATAAGAAATAAACAGAAAAATTACTTATTATCGCCACAGACGATCTCTTAGCTTTCTTCGAAATTAGTTCATAAAAACTCACGAATTCTCTATATTTAACCCGCTGCCGCAATACACTTCCACGGATTCTCCTTTGTTAAGAGTAACTCCCTTTCCACTGGCACGAAAGGTAATATTTTTCGAACCAAAATTTTTGATCAGCAGTGGATATGGACGTCGTACTCTTAATCGACAGCAGTACGAGAAGCTCAAACACAAACAACTCAGCACAAATATTTGAAAATTTATTTTAAACATATTGCTGACACTGCGCGCGGCTCGGAAGTTAGCGAAACTGAAAATGATGAACCTGTTGCTGGACATTTTATATTAATCAATCGGCTATCACTTAATTCTGAACTACATATATGCAATCGCAATATAAATGTGATTGTGTACGAACACACAAATCTATACATATAGAGCTGAGCTTGCATTTTGTAGTTAAAAGCGGCATTACATATAGTTAGGACCATCAGTAAAAGGGCACCGCTTTTGTTTATTTCACATTGTATACACATATAAAAGTAGAATGGCAGATGCATATTAAGGTGGCTCTTATAATATTTAATTTCTATTATTGTCTCGTTCAATAGAAGACGTTTTCGAAGGAAATCCGAAACTTACATATCGTCACCTGAAATACAAAAAGACGTAACAAACATCATCGTGGAAATGCAAAATGTTATAACTAATAAAAAATTCAAAACTCACCTTTTCATGGATGAATCCCACATTATTTTATAAAAAAAAATTAAATTATTAGTCGCGACTTTTCCATTTCATTTACGATGTTGCTACCGTCGTTTTGCGTTTCAGGTGACGATATATTTCTTTCCAGTTGAACTGCATCTTGTCCAAATTTTTATGTTGGGACTTTTTCCTACCATAATTTCTTGACTACAATAGTTTATTATAAATAAAACTAGATACATATTCTTTTTCGAAACAATGGAAAATTATTACTAAGGGCAATTCATCTAAACGCGTAAATACCTCGTAACCAAGTAAACTTCGTAAACTTACTTAATTTTGTATGGAACAACGTTTTATTTACGAGTTTACGCTGTTACGAAGCATTTACGTGTTTCTATGAATACCCATATTATATTTACTACAAGAAGGCAAATAATATACAGGAGAAGACAAACCTGATTCAGCGAAAGGCGATTACCTACGCATTTCTTTATCGGTATCTGGGCACCAGTGTAAGATATTTTAATTTCTCCGTTAGGTGGAACCAAGAAGTAATGTAAATTTTTTTTCTTTCAAACAATTGTTTTCAAATAGCGGTCGCCCCTCGGCAGGCAATGGCAAACCTCCGAGTGTATTCTACCACGAAAAACGGCTTGTCATAAAAATAAAATCGCCGTTCGTGAAACCAAACCAAATTCTGTTATAGGGTGTTTTTCAATAAAATTCTGAAATTGGGCGTTCTTGAAAAGTTTTCTAAGATTTTGAACTGGCTGCCGAGTTAAGTCGATCTTATCGATCTCAAATATCGATATACGGATAGTTCTTAGTTCTCCGTCAATAAGCATGATAAAATATCTAACTTACATACATATGTGTGTATATATATTAAGTCGATTTTTTTGCGACTATTGTTTTTTTTTCACTCCTACCTCAAAATTTTGTGGAAAACACCTAAAAAAAAGCTCCCTGAAAATTTGAACCCTTAATATTAACATTAAGTACTCGCCCAAGGCGTGCAAAATTTCCCACATAAAATACACGTAATCTTTGAGTTTTTTTCTTAAAGAGTCTACAGCTCAGAGGCATTTTATGGTACAATCTTGGTTAATAATGGGTTTTCTTCAGAATTGTATGCACTACAAAAGTGTCCATTGCCTTAGGGTACTTTGAACTCCAGTTTATTTAAGGGCTTTTGATAACATTTATGTACATAATAATTGTTTTTTTTTTGCTCGCTTAGATTGAATAATTTTCGTATTACTTTCAACAACACACTCCTACGTTTGTGTGTTTTTTTATGTAGAACTTCAGGCTGATGATATCAAAATTATCGGGGAAGGTTTGTATACATACCAACATCCATATGTATTTATTTGTTTATACCAAGCAAAGAATTTCATGATGGACATATCATGTTTATGAATTTGAGATGTTTGCTTATTCTAATCTCATAAGATTGGTTATCAAATACATAAATTGTATTGTATAAAGTTTAAATGAGTCGCCTACGATGCAAATTTATATATGAACATACATATGTACATACATACATATGTTCCATATACGTATATGTGCATGTTTACTTATGTACATTAGGGTGGGCTAAATATTGTTTCCAACCAACCTCAGAATTGTTTCGTGCATGATGAACGAACAAATAAAATAACTAATAATAATAATAATAATAATAATATTACACTCTAGCAATACGTAACAACACTAAGAAAAGTGCAAAAAGCAGTTTTAAAAAATTTTTATGCAAAAACCCAAAATAAAGTAGTTTAAAATTAAGTTTTTATTTAAAAAAATCAGCAGTATTAGTCGAAAAGACCCCTAAGGACTTAGTAAATCAGCAAGAATAATGAAACTGAAAAAGTAATTACTTCGGGAAATTGAAGTGATGGATTTTTTTTTATTTTTTTTTTGTAGCTTACTTCCTAATATCTACCTAAATTGCTAATTATCGTTTATGTAAACAATAGTTAGTAAAAGTTATAATAATTTTATTTTTTTGAGATTTCTGAAAGAAATCTTCTTACTCGATCAGAAATATTTATTTTTATCTATGGCGGCTGCTGTGGTGTAGTGGTTATGCAGGGCTTGAGTACGAGCCCAGTTTCCGACCAACATCTACAAATAAAACATAAAAAAGTTTTTTTTTTTTTTAAATAGCGTCGCCCTCGGCAGGCAATGGTAAATCTCCGAGTGTATTCTGCCATGAAAAACAGCTTCTCATAAAAATGCAATCGTCGCTCGGAGTCGGCGTAAACTGTAGATGCCTCCTCTCCCCTGTGTGACAACATCAAGGCGCACGCCACAAATCGGAGGAGAAGATCGGCCAAACATTACCATATGTGTGAGCGCCAGTCTACTTTTATTAACTTTACTAATTTACACCAGTTCAACAAAAAAATAAATAATAACAGTTTTCTAAGCGATTTCAAGCTAAAAAAAATACGGACATATAATGCGTTTTAATTAATTTTTATTCGTCGGGAACCCATAAGGGTTTTCCAAATTTATAATTATTTTCATATATTGTCTTTATGGTTCTTGTTGTTCAATATCATCATCATCGTCGTATAAGGGAAAATAATCAATAACGTTGGCTACATCCTCGGGACGGCAGCAAAAAGTATAGCCAAGTGAAGG